GATAAAGTCTCTGCCAAATGATTAGTTTGACAATTATTCATCCATAGTTTCAAACGATCGTTTTCTTTAGGATAAGAAAAAAAGCTTTTATCCTTGAAGGAATATGTACTTGGACAAAACTTTACTGAGCATCGCATACTGGTGAGGTAGTGAGATATTTTGAAAGAAAGCACCAAATATAACACGAAATAAGATACATGTGATCATTGACAACATTAACAATAACAATTGTTACTGCTCAAGTCAAATTTAAGTAGTTAATAATTTACATTATAAAAACTGATAATTATTTAATTTTCATGACTAATCTAGGGATTTTGAGTCATAAATAAGGGATTATGGGTTTAATACCTTAATTTAATGATGTATTAAAATAATTTATGTCAATAATTATGTTTATATACGGAATTTCATAATATTTATGCTACAGCAGATTTAATAATGAAATAAATTAAAAGAATTTTTGCGCTCATATATATGGTTGCACTGATTTCACTTCTCCAATCAAAAAACCGTTTTGTTATCGGGCCAAGTGAACTATCTGTTTTCATATAGTCTGTGAATATACTAAAGTATTTATTTGCATATATAGTATATGTATTACAGATGAAACATTTAAGTATATTATACTTATGACATACCATAAGTACCTACGATAACATCACCTAGCTGTATGAAGTGATTAGTGTTGATTTATTAGCAATTGTCTTACTATATGTATGCTTATATACAGTATTGAGTATGAATAGTATATACCTTATAATATGTGACCAAAACATTATTTACTGATAATATTTAATAACTGTTCTAGTATACATCTATAACATACACCCATATTTAAATAGAATATAACTAGATATAATATGTTATTGTAAGATGGTTAAAACAGAGAGTCATATGATATAATTTTCATAATCAAGATCAAACTCGACTAGGTTTATAGGTATATTTACGATATTACCAACTGAATCAAAACCAAATCAACAAAACCAAAAGTACATTATACCAAAGATGCTGACTTCAAAATATCTGAAGCGNAGTGTAATATGCTTAAATGATCCCAAATTATTATTTTATTAATGTACTTTTAATGTATTTTATTATTTAATTTATATTTTATATAACTTTTGGAAAAATGTATGATTAATATTATTATTTTTTTATAATAAATATTTATATACCCCTTTCATCTGGCACGCTTTTTTTGTAAATCGGATCATACTCCTTTAACAAGGGGGGTNAGCACGCTTTTTTTGTAAATCGTATCATACTCCTTTAACAAGGGGGGTCAAAACTTTAAACATGCGTATTGTTACTAAGATATTTTCAATTTAATTTTTGAAAGTATTCCGGAAATACTGACACTTTTATATATATCTTAAATTAAAGCTTATATAATATACTTTAATTTAAAAAAAAAAAATTGACCTCTGGATTTGTCTTCACGGTAAAAATGACTACCGTATTCAAAAATTTGCTATTTTTGTGTTAAAATTCTGGGTTTTGTATTTTATTTTATTTTAAAATACCTGACAAGGGGAGTACAGATTTTCATAAATATTATATAAATTAAAATTGATATAGTATAGATAGTTAAACTTATTTAAATATGTTTGTTTCTTTTAAGTCGAGAAAAATAACTTTGAAATTTGAACTAGCTTAAATAGCCAATTTTTCAACCGCCGGAAGCAACGTACGGTTGCCGAGTTGGTAAAATTTATGTTTTACACGCTAGGGGTACGAGGTTCCAACCGCGTATTGCAATGAATTTTTTGCATTTTTTCTTAATTCTTTTTAAGTTAGTATAAATTTTAACTCGTTTGATTTTTATCACATTTAGATTCAATAACTTCAATAAAGATCAA